TCACTTGTTGGTTTTGCTGAACATCAGCTGGATAAAAATCCAAGACCACCATCTGGAGCTTCAGTGCACCGGAAGCAAAAATCTCATCATCCGGGATCTCAGAACCATCTTCGGAGTAGAGTCGTTGTCTGAATCTGGTGACACCAACCTGAACTGCCAATGCTTGTTTCACAGCCTTTGCCGTCTTTCCTTCGAATTCATCTGGGGCAAGGGTTGCCCGAGTCTCACCTGACAGGAAACACACCTCCATAGCGGCATTGGCTGAAATGCAAACAACCCGTACTTAGACAAGTTCAAATGTGTAAGATATGTGAAGATAACTGAATAGAGTTCTGATGAAACACAGTACAAACTACTCGAATACATCAAACATATTATTTGTGCAGATGTTTTGCCACCAACGGACACACCGTCGACAAGAGACATCAATGGCATAGACATGGTGCTTTCCCTGCAGCCACCATCAAATAGACATGACGATTTTCTACCCAAATAATTTCTTCAAAAAAAAGGTCATGAACACGTGTAAAGTTGTGCAAGTAGTTCTAGATTGCCATTTGCAAAAAATATCCCACCCATGTTAGCTACGAAATATACTCTCTACACTGAATTATTTATATGTTGATAAACTGGGATGGATATTTCAGCCCATGATACCATAATTGCAAGGATGAACATCGGTGTTAAATCACCAGTTTTGATGATAAAATCCCCATTTTGCATCAAACTATATCATAACCAATCAACCAGTTGGTATGGTTCATGATGCTGGTATTTGATGGTTAAATTTCCCACTAAAATCTCATTAAATATCATTTTACCTCACTCAAATCCCATTAAATCCTATTGAAATCCCATCATTATTGGCTAAATCTCAATGTTGCTTGGTAAACACCGAATTCTTAGTTCATAATCCCCAATAAACAGGTAGTTTAAATCTCTATTTCATCACCAACCAACAGCATTTTTCAGTTACCATCTGGTTATTTAACATAGCCATGGAAAATCCCTTATAAATGGAGGTTCTAATGGGAAAATCATCTATAAATGGGAACGGCATTTTTCAGTTATATCATCTTATATTTAATCATTGTTTCATGCTTAAATTTATCAAAAAACATATTAAAACCGAGAAAATTGTCTATGATAAGTCCCATTTCCCCAAAAAAAAAGGTATACCCTCTGGTAAACGTTTACAGTTTGCCTATGGAAAATGGCAAACTGAGAAATAGATTTTCTTTTACCTATTAAAAATGGTGATTCCCCACCTGCCAGGTGAGGGTTGTTAGATTTTATCAGAGCTGTTCTCCTCCTCCTCCTCCGCCTCCTCCGCCTCCACCTCCGCCTCCTCCGCCTCCTCACCCGCCGCCTCCTCCTCGCAGTCCAGATCCCAGTGGGCACAGCTGGACCTCCACCGCGCGCTCCAGATCCCAGTGGGCACTGCTGGACCTCAACCGCGAGTTGCAGATCGCAGTGAGGCACTGCCGGACCTCAACCGCGACTTCCAGGTCGCAGTGGGCACTGCCGGACCTCAACCGCGAGCTCCAGATCCCAGTGGGCACTGCCGGACATCAACCGCGAGCTCCAGATCCCAGTGGGCACTGCCGGACCTCAACCGCGACTTCCAGATCGCAGTGGAAGTAGCCGGACCTCAACCCGGACCTCAACGGGAAGAATGTCAGAAAAGATGTCAGATAGAATGTCAGAAGATATGCCAGATAGAATGCCAGAAAGAATGTCAGAAAGAATGTCAGAAGATATGCCAGAAAGAATGTCAGAAGATATGCCAGATAAAATGTCAGAAGATATGCCAGATAAAATGCCATGAGATATGCCAGATAGAATGCCAGAGGATATGCCAGATAGAATGACAGAAGATATACCAGATAGAATGCCAGAAGATATGCCAGATAGAATGCCAGAAGGTATGCCAAATAGAATGCCTGATAAAATGTCAGATAGAATGCCACAAAATATGCCAGATAGAATCCCAGAAGATTTGCCAGATAATATGCCAGAAGATATGCCAGATAGAATGCCAGATGGAATGCCAGAAGATTTGCCAGATAGAATGCCAGATAGAATGCCAGAAGATATGCCAGATAGATATGCCGGAAGATATGCCAGAAGATATGCCAGATAGAATGGCAGATAGAATGCCAGATAGAATGCCAGAAGATATGTCAGAATATATGCCAGAAGATATGCCAGATGGAATGCCAGATAGAATGCCAGATAGAATGCCAGAAGATATGTCAGATAGAATGCCAGAAGATATGCCAGATAGAATGCCAGAAGATTTGCCAGATAGAATGCCAGAAGATATGCCAGAACATATGCCAGAAGATATGCCAGATAGAATGCCAAATAGAATGTCAGAAGATATGTCAGATAGAATGCCAGAAGATTTGCCAGTAAGAAAATGTATAAATGTCATGGTGGGGATCACACGAAGTAATGTAATTTTCTATACTTGTTGGTGGTATACCTACCCCTCTGAAAAATATGAGTTCGTCAGTTGGGATGATGACATTCCCAACTGAATGGAAAGTCATAAAATTCCATGGTTCCAGTCACCACCAACCAGTTTTTTGCTATGTTAGTCATTACCAGGGTATAACTTTCATGGCTCACCTTGGCAACACGTTAGTCACGAAGCGTTCCTTCGAGTGAACGTGAACCACGTCCCTTCGGCATCCGAGGTACGGATCCATCGCGATGTCGTCCTTCCACGCCTCGCCGCACGCAGCCTCCAAGGACCTGAAAGGTCGGTGTGATCCAAATATATAGGTTGGTTTATAAGGGAAATTCCCATCTAAAGATGGATGATGATACCATGGGATAGCCCTATTTCAGGAAAGCTCCATATGTTTTTATGATATACTATAATGAAAATAATGATTGATGATTATTATAGTGGTTATAAATATATAAGAATGACACAATCTTTCAATATCATCATAATGATTAAGATTAATCATGGATGATCATGGAGATAAATGTCGATTAATGCTGATTCTTGTGGCTATGAATCAAAGTTTATACTTTGGTAATCAAACCTTTCAGTATCATAATGGTCAATCAAGGTCATAAATTAGGAGACACGTATCAAAAAAAAATATAAATGCATCAAAAAAAATATCCACCACGCATCAAAAAATATATATGCATCAAAAAAAATATCCAGGTGCCACTGTGTGAGACCTCACGGGTTTCGTGCTGCAAACCTAGATCAAAAAAAAATATCCGTATCAAAAAAAAATAACATAGTAGTAGTAGTAGT